CCGGGATCTCCCCAGGTGAAGGGGGTCTCGGCTGTTCCCGACCTTCCAGGGTGAAGGGGGTATGTGAGTCTGGGGGGGGGGGGGAGGGAGGGGGGGGGGGAGGAAGAGAGAAAAGGTAAAAAAGCGTGGTATGAAGAGCTCTAATTTGTACCTTATTTAGGCACAAATTGAAAAAAATTTGAAAATTTTCAAAAGAATCTAAAAAATTTTTAAAAAATTGATTATGAAGATCTGTGCTCCTGTTTCACTGCATCAACAAAAAACGAAAGCAATAATATTTATCCCAAAAGATGTACTAGTTAGGAACAATTTCATTTCCTGCACATCATCATCAACAATATCACTATCGCTAACGTCAGAGACAACAAGTTTTCTGCCTGAAAAATCTTCTTCTTCCTCCAAAAGGTCATCGGAGTAGAAGTAGAATTGCGTGCAAAAGCGTTCTGAGTCGAAAATGGATTTGAAACTTTCTTATTCTTTTACGCGCTTTTGTGATTTTTTTTGGCCCTCTGATAGCACAGGAAGTCAGCAGGTAGGTGACCAGTTTCTTCATACCATCTTTTAGGATATTTCAAAAAGTCATACGGTAACAGCCTGTCTGGACCACTTATACCAATCCTTTAAATGAAGTTTTTAGATAACAATGTGTTTAGTAGAAGGTTGACAAATCTTAAGTATTTGCTTAGATGCTCTATCGTTGTAGACTTCTGCGTTGTGTTCTGATAACAGAGTAGATAGAAAATTTCTTTCTCCACCTCTGCCGTGCTAGTCGGAATGGAAACTAGCTTTGCTAGTAGGTCCATCAGATTTTTGCGGTAAGTAATGGGAAAAGAGCCAGATCTCATATGCTTTCGCAACACGGGAAGGAAATAGTGCATACTTTTTGGGCCTTGTCGAACTCTGGCTTCACCTCCTCTGGCATACGTCCTGTTAGCTGATTAGAAAGCTGCTCAACTTCTTCTTTAACAGCTTCTGCGGAATAGCCGAAAAAAGGAGGTACTATGCTGCGCGTTGGTTTTTTTTTCAATATCGTAGGTCATATTGTCACAAGGTGAATAACTTTCAAAAGCGTAAAGCACAGAGTTGGGTTCGCACTCCAGCCGGGATCTAAGTGCAGTAACTATGCTTTACTAACACCTTCCTTTTGTTCATATCCATGCTTGTGAATTTAGCAGCCTTGAATTCTTCAGCAACCTGAAGATCAGCAATGGACTTCCTGGACATTTCCTCATTGAAACTAGACAATCTGCTTTGATTCCTTATGCAGGAAATCAGAGAGTATCGCTCAATTGCCAACTCTGTATCAATGTCGACAACATTTTCGTCGGCGTAAGATTTTCCTTCTGCCTCGCTGTTGAACTCACATGCGAGTCATCTGCGATTTTGTAAAGTATTCTTCCTGCCGTCTCCTCTTCAAACTGCCAACCTTTCCAAAACATTGAGGGATATTTTAATAACATGTTATTCTTCTGAATGTCTTAGAGTTTTTGATTCATTGAAACCAACCATTCTCTACAAATTAGGTAAGGTAAGTCTAGAGCGTTTTCACGAAAGTGACCTTCTTCAGCACTAGGTTTACAGAGTATAGATTCCAGAAATGGGCGGGTTTTTGTGTGAAGGTGTGGAAATTCACCAATCTTCCATAGTTTTTTGAGTGTGTGCTAATAATGATGGCATAACTGTCAATCAAAAGCGCATTTTTTACCAAAAAAAACATAAACATATAACAACGATAAGCGCGCTCAAATAGACGCGTTCGCTCACGCTCCCGTTAGTGCTGATAACGATGTCAATCCACAGCACATTTTTTACTATTAACCTGCTCCACCTCGCTCTTATTAGGTCGTCCAGAAAGTTTTTGCACATGAATTTCAAAATTCATAACTTCTGATTTTTTCAACCGATTTGACTGCTTTCACTTTTATGTGAAAGGGTAAGTCATGCCTTTATAATGACATCTCAGCTGCTTAGTAATGGTCATCTGTTGCATAGATAGGAGCGATAGAAGAAAAATGGTAAAAATTTCAATTTTCTGTGTAGGGTCATAAAAAATCGGAGACTTGCAACAAAAATCGGAGCAGTCAGTACTGTAGGTTCTTCCACCAGCTCTTTCTAACAGTGCAAAGTTTGCGCCGATTGAGCGTCTCCATGAAAAGTTATGATTTCCCTAAAAAATGCCAAAATAAATCAAGTTCGCCTTTTGTACTGCTTGCTCAGAAATTATAACTTTTCATGGGAACGCTCAATCGGAGCAAACTTTGCACTGTTAGAAAGAGCTGGTAAAAGAACCTACAATACCGACTGCTCCGATTTTGTTGCAAGTTTCTGATTTTTTATGACCCTACACAAAAATTCAAATTTTGAGTGATTTTGTTTTGAGCTTCTATCTATGCAACAGATGATCATTACTAAGCAGCTGGGATGTCATTATAAAGAGCATGACTTACCCTTTCACATAAAAGTGAAAGCAGTCAAATCGGTTGGAAAAATCAGAAGTTATGAGTTTTTGAAAATCGTGCGCAAAAACTTTCGGGACGACCTATACAATGTGTTGGCTCTTATGGGTCACCGAAGCAAATGATTTTTAGAGCCGGGAAGCAAAGAAGCCCTAACATGCTGTATACCATTCGAAAGCTGAGATCATGGAGAATCGACTTAAACCGTCGACTTTTTTCTAGGTCTTCTGTGCCGCGAGATATGAGGGATTTCATGTGCTTCAAAAATTAACTGATTTTGTGTCCTCACTTTCTGCTCTCCAAAATGCTACGAGGATAAATAAATAATATAAATAAACATAAATACCGTTTCTTTAGTAAATTTATGTGTACCTTGTTGTTTGAGGTACTTAGCCTGCTTTTCATAACGATTTTTATCATATTTTCATAGTACAATACCAACCTCAGCCCAGGTGAAGGGGGTCATCGGGAGTTTGGCCTCAAAGTGAAGGGGGCAAGATCCATCACTCCCCCTATCGCAACTATGCTCGCAACGATGAGGTAAAATTACGCGTATTGGTCCTTTTTAAAAAACGCATTTTGAGGTCTTACTTAGAGATCGGTAAGCTACCAGATTTGATAAAACGCTTACCTCTGCAGTGCAGTTCCCGTAGTTCCTCTTATCTTCGGACCTATCGTCAAAACGTCTGGCAATAATCTATAACCGCCTTTGGGGCACAATGTAGTAATAGAAATTATTCTTGCTTTCATTTTCATGTCCCGTTTCCTAGAGAATCTCTCCCTACTGTCACTTCAAAAAGGGAATAAAGCTACCTGACCATCAGAAATCGCAATCTCTCCTGTCTGATAATTCAAAGGCTCAGTTTTGGACCACCAAATCAAAAGCATAGCAAAGGTGGGTGGACGTTCAAAAGTTACTGATTGCTGGAATTTATATTTTTCGTAAGAAGAACTTATGAAAATCAGAGATTCAAATCTCTGCATAGTTTGCAATCTCACAGCATCGACGTTTTATTCGCTAATAATCGACATTATCAATAATTTCTGCAGAAGACGAAATCTTCAAAATTCAAATCTCTAGCTAAGTTATGTCTTACACTTACTTGTTTTGATTATGTGCATACTTCCCAGAAATCACACTGAGTAATAGTGCTGAAGTACAACAGGGTTGCCTGTGCTAACACTATAAGATAGATATAAAAAGTAAGAGACGTACTATTCAATGGAGCAAAGCAAGCTGTACAAGAGAGCATTCGAATAGTCTATAAAACCCCTATCCAAGTGAAGTATGAGGCAGGATGTAAGAAAATTTAAATTGCCTTAGACAGGATTTTGTTTAAAACGTTACTAGAAAAATAATTTGTTCATGCTTACCCCTTGTATAAAATCCGCCATACCTGCTGCAATTCCATGGCATATTAAGAACACAAGAATACATTTTCCAAAATAACGGTGAGCTATTCCGATGTACATAAATTATAGCATAAACCTTTGAGAGTATAACTTTGTTCCTCAGGTTTTTTCGAGAAGTATCGAATTAGGCTTAAAAAGCAAAAAAAAGTTTGTTTTTGTTCTTCCACTTCTAGTCATAGAAAAATTAGAAGACGAGACATTGCAGATTTGTTAATGTGCTTCTCCCATTTTTTCGTCTACTCTGAAGCGTTAGCTCAGGGGACTTGCATCAATTACACCTTAATTTCGAGTTCTTTTAGTGAACATCCTTGAGTTTTTTGCTTATCTGCTCCTTAGAAAATTTACAAAGATTGATGAAAAACTGCTAGCCCCCTTACTCGTTTGTTGCTATAATGTACCTTTATTAGAAACATTTTCAAGGACAAGAGAGTACGTTACATGAGGTTCTGTCTTAAAGCACACTGGTTATTCATACAGCCCATGATTTAGATATACACCAGCTTTTCTTCGAATCTGACCGTTTTTACTTGACCACTTTTGAGCGGAGTTCAAAAAAACACATCCTTCAAGTAAAATCCGTCAACGACTTCGGACGTGACACCACTGATTTACCACTTTACCTTTTTTCAAATTACAAATTAAACTTTTATAACAGTTTGAAAATGGCTAAGAGCCTAATTCAGAGTTACTGATTCCTTTCAGCTACCCAAATGGCTCTAGGTCATACTAGCAAGTCGTGCTACTAAGGCCGACGTTAAAGTTTTCTTCTGATTGTTGGAGCCTTACAACATGTGAAAACAAATTGCTATTTTCAAGATACTCAATCAAAACTACTGATATTGGACTTTTTCAAAAAAACTCATAAGTAGACAAAATTTATAGCCAGAAAAAATGCAGTACATCATCCAAAATATGACAGTTGCTGTGTCCGTAATGGCTTGTCGGCTTTGTTTCTGTCCTTAATGATTTACCGGCTTTGTTTCAATCATAATTTATTTTTACTACCTTTCTGCCTTGTTGCTAAGCCACGAACGGGAGGTGTTGAAGTCAAGATGGTGCAGAATCTAGCCCATTGTACATTATACACTCTTCTCGCGCGCTTGTAAAGAGCTTGATTACATTCACTCGGTGATGTCGCTCTCAGCCTTTGTCTTCATTATTTCGGTCCTAGTGGGATTGGTGAGCATACAACTGCAGACCAGATTAGCTTGATCAAATACTGAGCTTCAGACCTTAAATGCTGGCGTGTTTCGTTACAACCCCAAAGCACCTTCTGGATCTATCATCTATAATATTTACTTAAAGGATAAGCTTATGTGCTTGAGGGCTTGCTATGAAGAAATCAACTGCGCATTTGTGACATATGAAGAGGTTCTTGATATTCTTCTGAAGTCAAAGTTGATAACTAAGCAGTTTTCAGGATATGGCGGAAAGATGTAGACTGTTCGAAAGCGGAGACGGAAATGGCCAAAGGTCGGGTTACATACTTTTACGTGAAGAAACGGATGCAGCCTGTACTCTGATAGAAATATCTGATGCCGATATCGCTTTCCAAAAAATACCATATCAAGAAGTAGCAGAAGTGGAGTGCAGCAATGCAGTATCGGATGTGGCTATCATTAGTCCTTATGTTAGCCACGGTAAATACCGTTTCTTCGTTCTTAACAGCGCCAAAGTACCCGATTGGACAGCAAAGAAACACAGGTTAACAGGTTTATTATTTGAGAGCGGACATTTCTTACTGTGAAAGGGTGTCGCAAACGTTCTGTCACCTCACTCTAAAGCTCACTCTAAAATTGCTACATGCTTCATTTCCTCATGCAGAGAAAAAAGATTATGCATAGCGGCAAAGTTGTATATATATCGTAGAGAGCAAATTAAGTTGGTTGGTTTGCAGGAAATGCTGGAAGCCAGTGCTGAGCAGGAAGTCAGAGTAGTAATAACATGATACTACTTCTTTTTGCCATTGATCGAATTTTTCTGCAACATTCAATAAAGGAAAGAAAGATAAATTACTTTTTTCTTTAGACCTAGACCTCAAACAAACACAAATTTCTCGAGACTTGTTTGAAAACACCTTTCAATTTTAGATGAAAGGTTTTTTTTTTCACTTGCCAAAATCGTGCAATTTCCGCTTCTCTTCTATGTTTTTCTACAAACTTCCTGACATGCGAGGATCGCAAACTCGAAGTGGCCGATCACTACAAGATGCATATCATCAGGAAGAACTTGAATCGTTGATTCTAATCTAACTTCCTCTTCTGCAGAGCGCTTTCGTGAAAGAAGATATGAACTTTTATTTGCAATGTGCAAGGCTGAAAGTAACCGTAAGTATTATTAACCTAAGCATTTGGAACTCAAACCCACTAAAAGACAATTCATGCTTAATGTGATGCTAACCTTTTAGAATGTTATCCTGTAGCGCAGAAAGTAGTTTGAAAGTTTTCATTATTTGTAATCGCCCAAAACCATGCAAATTTCGATAATAAAAGCGCCCATAACTCCTCCAAGAGTGTTCTGAAAATATGGTAGGCAGATCTGAAATCAGAACTCCAAGTTAGCGTTTGCCTTTTGTGGTAATCGACCGCTTCGACTCCGCAACCCTCCCTTGTAAATTCAAATTAAGTTTCTTATATTCAGCAACACATCAGCATCGGTGGCCACCCCAGGATTCTCGTAGGGGAAGGGGAGGGGGATACACAGGAAATTTTTTCGGTTTAAGGTGCATGGCGTCAGCCACGCACTCCTTCTTCAAAGGATTTTTTGTACAAGGCTAGATTTGAATTTTCGTGAAATCAAGAAAATTATTGCAATATCAAGTAACAACAAGTCACACAACATTTTTATAAAAATTGTAAGCATCTATCAAAAATCTCGCGACCTCTTTTCCTCGGTACGCCAATGAGCAGCATTCATTTCTGCTCTAACTCAAATAATGCGCTTAATTGAAACAGAGCAAGTGATTTTGAAAATGAAAACCGTTAAACATATAAAATGGACAGGCAGAACGCTTGACGCACAGTAGCATATCTTGCTCACAAATCATAATCTTTCATTGTGTTCCCTTTTAGGCTTTTCATTTCCAAAAGGAAGGAGGAAACTTGCACAGCTGTTCCCATCTTCCATAAAGCGAGTGAGTATGTAGGCCAACTTAGAAAACGAAGTTATCTTCCTTGTGTGACTCAAGCCATCATGATCCAGTCTGCCGAGCATAACTTTATCTTAGTTTATGTTAGATCTCGATCCAAATTCTTGAAATGTGTAGCTGAAAATAAATACTTGCTTAATGAAAGTTACAAACAATTCTGCAAATAATTTTATCAAAGAAACCAGAAACTTCAGATCATCGACGCCTGTATTTCGGAGAAGTCTACAATACCACTGGCTACTATTTTTACGATGCCTACGCTTTTGCGAACTACTGCGTTTCTCCAGAGGGTTTATGCTTGGGTGTGGTGAAGATCCAAGAGTACGTAGACGAACAGAACCTCTACTTCTACGATAGGGCTGGAAGAGACGACGTGATAGATTCTGGTTTGGGGCAGATATTCTACATCGCAGGCATTGAAAACTAAAGTTACATTCGCTTTGAAAAACGTCAACTGTATGCATTAATGTGTTGTCAATGTGTTGGTGGTTGTGGTTTTATCAATAAGCGGCAATAAAGTTTCTGGGGTGGGGAACTACTTTTCAATTTTTTAACAAAAAAGCGATTGTCCATAATGTGCTTTTACTACGTGAAAGCTGTGCATTGTAGGAATAATATACACAAGCCTCTCTTCTTTCTTTTTTGGCTCGTTGATGTAGCAATACCGTGACGGCTAAAATAGCTAGTAGCGCTGTTTCTATCACTGACCAATACGAATAGCGATAAACTCTCATGTGGAGCTCAGCAGTTCATCAACTGACGTAAGTAGAAAGATTTATTTTCTTTGCTTACACATAATACCGGCGAGGTTTTATATTATTAGGTTGAACCGAAAGTTCTTTCCCCCCATTTTCAAAAATTCCTAACTTTTGATTTTTTCAACCGATTTGACTGCTTTTATTTTTGTAAAAAAGAGCAAGTCATGCTTTTTACAACGACATCTTAGCTGCTTGCTAAAGATTATCTGTTGCATAGATAGGAGCGATAGAATAAAATTGATCAAAAATCGAATTTTCTGTGTAGGGTCATAAAAAATCGGAGACTTGCGACAAAAATCGGAGCAGTAGGTATTGTTGGTATTTCCACCAGCTCTTTCTAACAGTGCAAAGTTTGCGCTGATTGAGCGCCTCTACGAAAAGTTATGATTTTTGAGCCAGCAATACAAAAGGGCGAATTTGATTTATTTTGGCATTTTTCGGGGAAATCATAACTTTTGGGTGGAGGACTATATGTCGCCGAATTTGGAAGAGTTCCGGGTGGATTCCCTGCAAGAACGCATGTCCGCGCATGTACAAGGACGCGCATTTGTCGCAAATGACCGCGAGGAGCGCCCTTTTTCGGCGACATATAGTCCTCTACCCATAACTTTTTAGAGAGGCGCTCAATCAGCGCAAACTTTGCACTGTTAGAAAGAGCTGGTAAAAATACCTGCAATACCTACTGCTCCTATTTTTGTTGTAAGTCTCCGATTTTTTATGACCCTACACAGAAAATTCGATTTTTGATCAATTTTATTCTATCGCTCCTATCTATGCAACAGATGATCTTTAGCAAGCAGCTAAGACGTCGTTGTAAAGAGCATGACTTGTTCTTTCACACAAAAAATAAAAACAGTCAAATCGGTTGAAAAAATCAAAAGTTATGAATTTTTGAAAATGGGGGAAAGAACTTTCGGTTCAACCTAATATATTAGGTTGTTGCAAAAGTTCTGTCGTTTCATTAAAATTTGTAACTCCGCGAAATTTCAACGGATTTGCTTGGTTGTAATTTTGTTGGAAAGAATAAGTCTTTCGCTTTCAAATGCTGTTCCGTGGAGCTTCTGTTTCATACTGGGTGCGTAGATAAAAATGGAAAACTAAGACCATATAAGCTTTGACCATTTTAAGTTAGGTCACCAAAAATCTGGAATGCTGCAGAAAAATCTGAAATCGTCAGTACATATGTTCTTCGGCCTACCCTTTGCATCTGTGAAAAGTTTGCGCTGTTTGGACGTTTCTGTGAGAAGTTATGAATATCGAGTTTACTATGGAAAATGCCAGAATTAATTAATTTGTCAATTTTCGCGAAAATCATAACTTCTCACAGAAACGTCCAAACAGCACAAATTCTTTACAGATGCAAAGGGTAGGCCGAAAAACATATGTACTGACGATTACAGATTTTTCTGCAGCATTCCAAATTTTTGGTGACCTATCTTAAAATGATCAAAGCTTATATGGTCTTGGTTTTCCATTTTTATCTCCGCACCCAGTATGAAACAGAAGCTCCACGGAACAGCATTTGAAAGCGAAAGACTTATTCTTTCCAACAAAATTACAAGCAAGCAAATCCGTTGAAATTTCGAGGAGTTACAAATTTTTGAAAATGAAACGACAGAACTTTTGCAACAACCTAATATGTATTAGGTCGTTTCAAAAGTAATTTCGCTTGGCGCCACATTTGATGGAACAAAGGTGTCTAGAAGAATCTGGAGGCATTCGATGCAGAATTTCATTCTCTTTCTAACGGTTATGAAAGTGTTGCAAAACAATCAATGAGCTTTCAGAAAATAACCAAAACTTGTGACCAATGCTTTTTAAGATAATCAAGTTTCACAATTTTTTAAAACTTTCATATCAATTCTCAGAAGAAGTTCAAGTAACGATTCGATACGTAAACCTCATAGAAAACAGTACTACTTTTTTCTCTTTCTCGTAGCTCGCCGTAATTTTCTAAAAGATTTTTTAACGGAACCATCGGATTTTGGCAGGCCCACCTCAGCCACAATCGCAGCAAACATCATAATATCTCGGAATTTGAGACTACCAAGACTGTACTATGAGTTAGCACTAACTTTACAAAGCAAGTGAGGGTTTACGGCTTCGAAATATCAAATTTCGTGATTCTCAGGTACAGCATGAGGCTCCTTAAAAAAATGAATTGTGATGATTTTATCCCCGAAAACTAAACGAATCGGAAACAAAAACCACCTGTTAGAAAGAGGAGAAGATGCTGAGTCGAACAGTGGCCGAGCTGCTCTTCCTTTGTTCTACGAGGATCTAGCTGCCCAAGTATGAAAATCGGTAGCATCAGTTAAAATTCTGTCAAAAATGTATGGCAAGCTAGGGAAAGGACAGAAAAGTAGTTTTGCATTCTATATGGTTTGCTCTATCGAAGAGTCACTTAAACTTCTTCTGAGAACTGATGTGAAAGTTTCAAAAAATTGTGAAACTAGACTATCTCAAAAAGCATGGGTCGCAGACTTTGGTTATTTTCTGAAAGCTCATTGACTGTTTTGCAACACTTTCACAAGCACTAGAAAGAAAATAAAATTCTGCATTGAATGCCTCTGAAATCTCTCAGAAATCTTTGTTCCATCAAATATGGTGTTTGAAAAAAGCGAAATTACTTTCGAAACGACCTAATATATCAATAAGTTCAATAAGTTCCGTCCGATTTGATTTTCACTTGCAATAAATTATGAACTTCTTGTTTCTAGTAGGCTTCGAGGCACCATTCGATAGAGCAAGGCAAGCTCTACCAGATGGCTATCTTGCTTTGCACTAGCTCTGATACATCTCGAGTTTCAAGCCGAAAGCTAAAAAGATTCAACTGCCCGAAAATCGAGCAAAATTCATAACACCGCTCAAAAAGTCCTACAAAAATTCTAACTTGTCGCATAAACAATATTCATCTAAGGCAGGTGCTAGCATGGCGACGGGCGATCGCCTAAGACATTTATATACGCCGTTGCCGTAATTTTTTGCCGGTTAGAAATCAAGAAAACGAAAATTTTTGCACTTTTGCCAAAGTGATGCTGTGCTGTCCCTACGTAGATAGTTGTATAGTACTAGTCTGTAGAAGTGCAAATGTAAATTTTCAGCTCTCTATGAAGACTAGTTTTTGAGAAATATGGAGTTTTGCGTAAGGCACCTAACTAAGGCAAACTATGTTCGATTCGATAATTCTCGGGAACCAAAGCTTGTAGGGGGCTAAAAATTTTCATTTGCACTTTTACAGACTAGTATAGTACTATACAGCTATCTATGTAGGGACAGCACAGCGTCATTTTGGCAAAAGCATAAAAATCTTCGTTTTCTTGATTTCTAACCAAGGAAAAAATATGGCACTGGCCTATATAAATGTCTTAGATGGATAGTGCTTAGCAAGTTAGAATTTTTATAGGACTTTTTTGAGCGGAGTTATGGTTTTTCTCCATTTTCGGGAGTTGAATCTTTTTAGCTTTCGGCTTAAAACTCGAGATGTTTCAGAGCTGGTGCAAAAACAAGATAGCCTTCTGATAGAGCTTGCTTTGCTCTATCGAACTTCGGTACTTCGAAGCCCATCCAAAAACAAGAAGTTCATGATTTATTGCGGTTGAAAATCAAAACGGACGGAACTTATGGGACAAACTGATATTTGGGTAAAATATCGTTCCTCAAAGTAGAAAACATGTCAGAAAGTAAAAAATATGGTACACGGTGTGATCGACAAAGCAGGAACATCCAAATCTCAACACATTTGGAAGTTAAGAGCAAATGATGATTCTAAAAATTGAAATCCCGTATGAGAAGGTTTGCATCATTCATGCGCTTCATATTTGGCATTTGCAGTCATTCAGATGTACTCTAAAATCAAGAAGGGAACGACAATTCTTACCACCTGGCGATTTTGGAATCCTTCCATACATGCAATCAAAGTTGAAAAAGTAAAAGACCTTGCATTCACTTTTTCACGAGAAAAAGCTCTAGCGTGAATACTTGGAAACAAGGACGATAATTTCTTACCGAACAAATACAAGAACTGAAGTTGCTCATATTACTTTTGAGAGATAATTAACTGACTATGAAAAATTGTGTACTCGAAACATTGGAATTCTTCTACACATTAGATTGTCCCGAAAGTTTTGTCCGTTTATTTAAACCATTATGAGACCGCGCACAATAAAGACCTGAATGAGTTATAACATGCATTCGATACAGCTTTTCCTTCTCTTTCCTATGGATACATTTCCGTACCACAACCTTGTATGCTTTTTTTATTAATTGTCAAAATTCTCCACCCGTCAAATTCATGTGCTCAATGTTAGGCTAATTTTTAAGAATTTTATTACAAAGTTTCGAAAACGATCAAGTGTGTATCAAATAGGCCAATTATCGGACTTCAAAGAAACATTTTTAAATTTTCCTAATCTGCTGTTTCTAGCTTCAAAAAATTATTTCTTCGGAGGTCTCCATTTCTGGCGAAGTCATGAAACCGAAACACAAACACACGAAAGCAGTCGCCATCAGGTGGCTTCTGCAATTTTTCAAAAACGAAATCCTTGTAAACTTCTGCACAAAATACGACATCACTTATGACGCGATCATGAATGGATTGAACGAATAGCGAAAAATTATGGAATAAAACATAAGAATGACATGGAACAGACGAAAAAGAAAGATGTTC